GACACGTATTAGGTCGCGCCCCCTTTTCTTTCTCTGTAATACACTTTACCCCCCCCCCCCGAAGTACTTTAAAAAATTAATAACGTGATATACATCCAGCCAATGGTAACAGTTATAAATTTAGTTTAGAAAAAAAACGAAAAAAAACGTGTTACAGACGATTCTCACCGCCCCCCCCCCCAAAAAAAAAGATCCGGTTGCGTTCTCAGGGTGGCCCCCATTGTTTGAAAATGACTGTACTAGAAGACACATTGTACTCTATAATGAAATATTTGACATTTATCCAGTAGCCTTTTTAGGGTTAATATCAAACATTTAGGTGTTACGACTTTAGTATCGGAATGTGATGCATAAAAGCTATGATCATCTAGTTTTAGAGATAATTGCCCGTTTTGAAACATTGTATATGCGAGATGTGATGAATTTTTTAAATTTTCATTGTATTAAATTATAAAGCTGTTTAGTAATGAATGTTGTTAACATATAACTTATTAATATTTCTTACAAAATTGTAGACTGTTTCTTGTGTTGTGGACCACACTTCACTTATGTGTCTAAAAAATTTAGGAGTATTTAATTAACTAAATTTAAATAATTATCTACGACTCAAGAAAGTGAAATTTAGAAGTCAGTTAAAACTTCAAACCACTTAAACTGTCACACTTTAAAGTAAAAGATTCAAGTGGTTCATGGTTATTGTGAACTGGTGTAATAATTTAAAACATTTCAAAAAATCTTATTGCTTTTATAGCGTAATATGCTTGAGTTATTCACGATAAACGATAGGTGTTTTCCAGAAATAATGAGGGTTTTGTAAGCTTAGTTTTCACTACGTTTCGCTTGCGTGTACCCTGTTTCCCTACTTTAAAAGGATTATCGTACCTTTTGTTTAAGCACAAGATATCAGCCTAATGTCGTGTTGCCGAATTGTTTGTTGTTTTTATTTAGTTATTGATGTATGTATTTACATCTACATTCAGATATTTGTATGAGAAAATAATATGTTATTTTTCACTGAACATTATTTTAATATAATGATTTGAAAAACTTCTAAAGTTAAGGTAAGTAACTATTTAGTAGAAATACAGTTCTGTGATAGAAGAACCCACTGTCATAGTGTCGCCACCTTTATCAAACTACATATCAGAGTCGATAACAGTTTACAAACTGCACGTGTGCCTTCGTAACACGTCAGCTACAAAATCTTAAAAAAAGTGCAAAAGTAAACGAAACTTTAGTTTCAGATAGTAAATTTGCCATAATCGTTTCTACAATAATCAAAACATTTTTTTTAAATTTAGTTTTAAGAGGTTATGTAGTGTCTAAAAAAGATAGCAGACACGACTAACCTTTCAGGACGGAGCAGACTGTAAAACCTAAAGTTGGTAAAACAAGTAACATATGAAGAAAGACAAAGAAATATATACATAAACAAACAATAAAAAAAACATACAAGCCGACAAACAGTATTAGGGTCTGAAATTCGCGTCGTTCAGTCGACTGTGACTAGTTAGGAGGCCACAGGCCGCCGACTAGGATAGCAAACAATGAACATATTTATAATTTAATCGGCTGAACATGCTGATTAGAATTTTAAGCATTTTTCTTATTTTACTTTTTCGTCAAACGTGTGCTTTTTTTTTAATTACAGTTGTATTTTCATCTCATGAAAGTATTCTTTATTTCAATCTCCCAAATGTAGTCTCTAATTTTCTGGGAATCCCTTACCTATTTTTAAACATTAAGGGAAATCCAAGTGACGTCAGAAGTGAAAAGGAGGTTTCTGAAACGTGCCCCCCCCCCCAGTGGCACAGCGGAATGTCTGCGGACTTACAACGCTAGAATCCGGGTTTCGATACCCGTGGTGGGCAGAGCACAGATAGCCCATTGTCTAGCTTTGTGCTTAATTCCAAACAAACAAACGGAAACATGTGAATGTGGGAATCGATCCAAACGAAGTGTGACGAAAATTAACATCTCAGACCTTTTGGTCTGTGTTAAAAAATAATAAGCTGTTCATTTCCAGTGTGATATAATCAAAAACTGTTGTTTTCCATTGAAGAGTTTTGTTTAATTTTACACATACATGGACGTATATGCAATTGTGTCTTTCTTTAAAAAATTCACATCTGCAGTTGATAAAATGTAATTAACATACATATACTTGTTCTTAGAATGGACCAGTTAAACCTGATAAGGACTAGTTAGAATTCTTGGAGGACCAGTCATTTTGGACCCTGATATATTCCTATTTACATTACAGTTTCTAGTTGCTGTAGTGTATGGTATGCGTCAAAGAACTAACGCCGTCGTGCAAGAAGTTTTGAGAGATTTTATTATTTTACATTTATCATAGTTAAATGGAGCTATTAGCCCACACTAGTCATGATTGGCTGGTATGGAAAGATATATGAAAATATCACTTCTACTGTTATGTGCATTCTTACGTGTTTTCAGTTTTATACATGGCAGCGTTTTAGGCTCGATTTGTTTATGACAGAAACATGTCAGTAAATGTGTTGTACAACATTGGGCAATAAAGATTTTTCGGATTTATACATGCTAATGTTAATCAAATGAAGAGGATCGAAGTTACCTGTGGCCCTTTATTGACTTCGAGAGTGGTCAGCAGAGTGACCATTGATACCGTATTGCGCAGTTTGTTTCAATGTATTCAGCCCGATACTCAACTGGTTTCAATCATAAAGTCCACTTGGAATTAGGCCTAGCAGATAACAAGATTTCGAAGTTATGATCCTTGTTTTATAGCTGCATCCTGTTGCATTACTTGTATGCATATTAGACCTAATTACCATTTGAATGTTTTCATGCAGTTACCATAACTTACAAACCAGTAGTTTGACATAGAGGTGTCTCAGCAAACCTTTTAAACATCAAGTTAGTAGTAACTTAATGCACAAGCAAAACACTATACAAATAATAGCAAATTAAAACTTGTTTCTTTAAAAAACACAAACCTTTTTCAAATTTTTAGCCAAACTTAAAGAGTATTAATTCAGTGTCATTTTACTCGATTACTACTCCCCTCCCCCCCCTTTTTTTTTTTTCCACGGTATTTTTGAAATCCTCCCCACCCGTTTTGAACATATTCCTCACAATAGAACCACTCCCTGCTTGTCCTTGGAACGTTATCTCTAACCTGATGAGAACGTCATGTAAAAGCCTCTCTTTATTGTTGTAACGAACTAACGCATCTCGTGGAATGCAAGTGCTGCCAAAATGAAATTATGTAGGCTTTTCGATCGCACTCGTCACACTTAAAATCAGCGTTCTTGAGCTGTTGGTCGGACAGTGTTGCAGAGATGAACAACGGTTCTATCCTTAACTCTATTTCATTTGTAACTATTAGCAATAATATTACTAACATTTGTTTATTCTATATAAAAGCCATTTCTTCATGCCAAATTTAAATATATAACTTTAGTTTTTCTTATTGATAACTGTTTCATATATTTATTTATTAAATGGCTTTTTAAAAAAGAAAGTCACCTGTGTGAGAGATTTTCTGTGAAAAATGTATATTTAGCTTTAATAATTCGTGATTTTCTAACTACATTATTACATGGGATAGAACGCGGTTTAAGTCATCATAAGGTTGAGCCACACAGCTAACACTTTCGTCCTAATAGATGTAGAAGTAAATACAAATTTTCCAGATCTCAAGAAACGTATTGCAGGTCTTCCAGTCTCTGATATATTTTACTGCATGGCGAAGAGATTCTACCTAAAACATTATTAAAAAACTGTTCAAAACATTAATTTTGACTATTTTTCAAACACTTTTCCCGACTTGAAAAATATCATTAGTGGTATATCTAATCGATATGTAGGTGTATGGTTACTTATGTAGGTGTGTAGTTACTGTATTGATTGGCACTGTAAGTGTAAAAGTCATCATCTGGTATGTTGCAAGACAAAAAGTAGTTCTACTTATCGTCATTTAGTATTAATGTAATGAGGTCAGTTAGTTCATCCGTCTCCTAGTTTTATTTTATTTTAATTAAGATAATGTTGCTGTTATTAAGACACAGTTAAACGTGATGTCACAAATAGGCTTCACTAATTGAGAAGATGCATTTGTGTTATTATACAGAGTTCATTTTCCATACTCCTAACTTAACTTTTTTTACTTAAAATTATAAATATATTATTTGTGTTCATTATAATTTATGTACCAATAGTAGGCAAAAATAGTACATTTGTAAAAATTATGCATTAAGGTTAAGAGTGTATAATAACTCTTGGTATAGGTTCCGGTGTTCAAAATTGGAAGATCTTTTACATTTGTATGTCAAAGTTAACTTAAAATATCGTTTTTTTTTTCTTCATTTATAGGTTGTGATTATTGGCAGTAGAATACGTTTAATTTTTAATCATGTAAATGGTAATCCTGACGTCTGAATGAAAAAGTGTTGAGACAAAATTTAAGAATGACGTGGTTTGCGATTTTTAAATTTAGTATACGTATATAACAATAAAAATAAGTTTTTAATTTTTATTAGTTTCTGCCGTCATAAGGAATTTGAAATGGATACTGTATATTAGAAACGACGGTGGTTATCCTTCTCTTGAAGAAATATTGAGAGTAAAAGCGTCATTTTTACTGTTTACTTGATCGGGTGATGGTTAGTGTAGACATGAAAACGTAATTGTTAATCTATACTTGAAGGAGTAATGGGAAAAGGAAGGAATAATGGTGACTAGAAGGGAAAGCGTAATTGTATACGCGAAAGGAACAAAGGTGTAGACGTGAAAGGGATGATGGTAGCTGCATACTTGAAAGAGTTATAGCAGTTTGTATTTAGCTGGGGGAATGTAGTTATTGACTCTGGATATTAGTATAGTTTTATTCCTATTAGAATACTAAACGATATTTCCGTTTTATGGTTAATATAATGTTTTTTATCTGTTAATGGATGTAACTGTTATCTTTGAAAACTTAACAGTGCATAATTGTAAGTGGTTCTATTTTCTTCCAGTGCTGGGCCCAAAGGAGACAATTTGTACGAGTGGGTGTCCACTATCCTGGGCCCCCCAGGTTCTGTTTATGAAGGAGGGGTGTTCTTTTTAGATATTCACTTCTCACCAGAATATCCATTCAAACCTCCAAAAGTAAGCAGTGTTGTACTGGTATATAGGTTATTCACTTGTATCAGAAAGGTAATTATGACATTTTTTTGTCAGTGGGTGGGCCAGCCTAAGTGAAAAATTGAAGTTATTAATGTAGTATATAAGATATTGCCATGTCACGTGTGGGTTTGTTTACATGCATGTGCTCACACATGTATATAAGTATTGGAAATAAATATGGAAACAATGAATCAAGTGCAACTATCACGGGTTTGTTCCTCCTCTGTTGTATGAAAGTGAAATGAACCAATTTGTTGATTGTTTAAATTGTAAGTAACTGTTGTTATTCAGCCAACCAAACACCAACATAATGCCGATAAAAGTACTCAGTCAAATTATTCCCAGTAGTAATGTGGTGAGTACACTTATTGCTCTCTGTAGAAATCAAGAGTTCTGGTTGGTGAAGGTGAATCATTGCAACAGATCCAGGTAAAATTTCAGATCTGTAGGAAGAAAATATGTAAAATTAGTATTGTTGATAATATAATAGGTCGGTAAAACGTCTAAACTCCTCAAAAGTGATATTAAGTAACTCCAGGTATGCTCTTTACTTGATATGTGGCAATCCAGTAAAGATCTTGTCAGTGACCTCATTCATTCTTAAGTACAGATGTGAATGTTTCCTCTGGAACAGTAAGATACACATTAGCATGAAGTGGATATGTAGCTGCTCAAAAACCACTGCTTGGGGAGGTTACCTAAGCTAATGGGATGAGAAAAGGTGGATGATGGTGCCCTTTACAGATGAATTTAAGTTTTTTGTCAACAATCAATGGAAACAGGAGAATGGTATCATGTGACTAGAAGTTGTTTATGATTGTTATGGAACAATAGTTATACAGACAGTTGAGTATTCTTGCATGATAAAAAGTTCAAAATGCCTCATTTTTGGAAGACTAATATTAACCACGAGATCCTTTAAGGGTTTTTCCTCCCTCGATTTCCTACAATTGACCTTCCATACAAGAACTTACCACTGTAACATATACAGTGAAACATGATGGGGACCAACACAAATGTGCTGCATTCAACCAGCAGTGTTGAAGATCTACATAAAATTAATAGCTCTGATGGCTGACAAGTATAATCAAATTATTATTCAACATTTCATTTCTTCATGAACAAGGTCTGTAGGGTAGGGATTCACTCATCTTCCAGTAAGACAGTAATCCTAAGCATGCAGCTAATGTGATGAAATGATACCTGGTATTTTGATGGAACACTTGCAATCATGGCTTGGCCTACATAAGGCTTTTATGTGGAAACTGAGATAGTCAAATGCCAACTAAACAATTTGTCTGAATTGTGAGGAATAATACAGACCATATGGAACATTATTTCACATTTATACATTGATAAACTTATGACATAATAAAAACAAGGCTTACTGCTCTTTTTTTTTTAGAGCAAATACAAAATACTAGTAATTTGTGAAACATAATCATAATCCTTTTTTTTGTATATTCTGTAATAACGTATTGCACTAATGATAAATTGGTTGTAAAAAACAAACAGCAGCAAAACAATCATTTAATTCCATTTTTCATTGTTTTTGACTTGTATATATATATATATATATATATATACTACCTGTGTATTTCCAAATTACTTTTAATATTGTATGCTTTTCACATTTTTCTTCTCAGTTTTGAAATATTGTATATATAAGTTAATATGTAAGATAGTACAGTGGAATGATACAAAGTAATTAGAAAATTCAAAACACATTAGTGTTAGATTTTTCATTTTATTTTGATTAACAATAACATTACATATGTCTCAGATCTCAAAAGTCATATTGCGTATAGACAATTGCTGATATAAAAAGGCTTATCACAGCTTTCATTTATTGCCAAGAAATGGTCACGTTTGTACCCAGAGACCCATAAAGTGTTTAAACTTGGAATTACAAGCTAAAATTTATACTCTGCTTTTATGTTTTATTACAATGCATGACTTGCATGCTTTACTAGCAGTGCACATTTTACAGTTATAGGTATTATCTATAAATGGTATCTAAACTTCTGTATTGTCGTCAAACTGTGACAGGAACTTGAGTATAAAACAGTCTCTCTTCGCCCGGTCGTGAAAGAAGGTTGAATACTGAAAAGTATAATACAAATGGAAGACAATGAATGGTTTGAAAAATCAAAGATGTGGATTTGAACAGCAATGAAAAACAACATTAAAAATAGAAATGCAGAAATGGCCAACTCAGGAAATAAGAAGTGTAGAATGAAAAACTGTATTATGTTGATTCATCAACAATTTTGAACAGAAGGCCTGTCAATAATTTTATTATAAGAGACAAAAGATATTTATGCATGTTTCTAATTCAGAGATGTATAAATGAAGCTCTTACACAAAATGTCGGTAGCCAGCATGTTCCAGAGATATATAAATGAAGCTCTTACACAAAACGTCGGTAGCCAGCATGTTCCAGAGATATATAAATGAAGCTCTTACACAAAATGTCGGTAGCCAGCATGTTCCAGAGATATATATAAATGAAGCTCTTACACAAAACGTCGGTAGCCAGCATGTTCCAGAGATATATAAATGAAGCTCTTACACAAAATGTCGGTAGCCAGCATGTTCCAGAGATATATAAATGAAGCTCTTACACAAAACGTCAGAAGCCAAATGACAGGTTTCATTTGCTCCATGGGCAAAAGTTAAACTAAGTTTTATTGCAATGAAAGTATTAACAATTGTTGCTTGAATTCTTCTTAAACTGAATCTATATAGTATACTCTACTCAAGACAATAAAAAGGTTGAAGGCTATTCATTTCACTTTATAAGTTTTTTTCATCAATAACCAAAGATTCTCACACTTGTCAGTGATACCTTTCAGATTCTAAACTGAATGTGATTAGAAGTTATTTATACATTTTATGGGAACAATAGTTATGAAGACAACTCGATAAAAGCTTAAAATGCCTCACTTCTGAAAAACTGATACTAACCACTAGTAATATTATATCTTTATGAGTTGCAGAGGTTGTTTTTTTTAAATCTCTTTTCCCATCCCTGACTTTATATATATGTGTATAGGTAACCTTCCGCACAAGAATTTACCACTGTAACATCAACAGCCAGGGGATCATCTGTCTAGATATCTTGAAGGATAATTGGAGCCCTGCCCTCACTATATCGAAAGTTCTTCTTTCAATATGTTCTCTACTTACTGACTGTAACCCAGGTAAAAATAGCTAGTTCATTTAATACATTGTTTTCTTTAGTTTGTATTTTGCTATCTAACACTGAATATTTTGTGTACATTTTTATTTTTATGAAATATATTGAAACAGCTGATTTCCTATTTATTTATGTGTAATGTTATTAGTTGTGTTTTTCATAATTTAGAATGTGATGTATGAGAAACATTTTGTTTTGCAATACCTTTAATAATTTGTATGTGTGTATCCTAATTTTTTTATATTATTTTAACAAATGCAAATTCTAAAAGCAATTATATTTACTCTTTTCATACACAAAATGTGAATTTTGAATTGAACTTCTGGAACAATATACTTGGACATTTTTATTTTAGAGAACTGTTATTTATGGATTAAAATAATTTCATTTTGTGTATCATGTTCCAAAAACACCCTACTCCTGTTTTTTGTTCTATTTTTCAGAAGTTTATGTAATTAGAATGGTTTTAATGATTTTTCTCATATTACCTATCATTATGCATTGCAGAAGTTCAGAGAATGGTCATTCATTAGTACTGTTAACTAGACAGGTGAACAATTAATTCCTATGTATTATTCCTCTGTATACTCCATTACTGTTAACTAGACAGGTGAACAATTAATTCCTATGTATTATTCCTCTGTATACTCCATTACTGTTAACTAGACAGGTGAACAATTAATTCCTATGTATTATTCCTCTGTATACTCCATTATTGTTAACTAGACAGGTGAACAATTAATTCCTATGTATTATTCCTCTGTAACTAATTCCTGTGTATTACTTCTAATGGAACAATATTATTTGTTAAATCCTCTGCATCCTCCAATACAATTAACTGGACAGTTGAACAACAAATTCCTGTGTAGTCTTCTTAATGGAACAGTGTTATTATTATCTGTTAAACCCTCTGTATCCTCCATTGTTAACTAGACAGTTGAACGGCTAATTCATATGTAGTAATACTAATAGGACAGTTATTGTCTGTTAAATCCTCTGTATCCTCCATTGTTAACTAGACAGTTGAACAGCTAATTCATATGTAGTAATACTAAGAGGACAGTGTTGTTATTATCTGTTAAATCCTCTGTATCCTTCATTATTGTTAACTAGACAGTTGAACAACTAATTTGTGTGTAGTAATACTAATAGGACAGTTATTGTCTGTTAAATCCTCTGTATCCTCCATTGTTAACGAGGCAGTTGAACAGCTAATTCGTATGTAGTAATACTAAGAGGACAGTGTTGTTATTATCTGTTAAATCCTCTGTATCCTTCATTATTGTTAACTAGACAGTAGAATGGCTAATTTGTGTGTAGTAATACTAATAGGACAGTTATTGTCTGTTAAATCCTCGAAAGGTTTAGCAGGAATTTCTATAATCTATTTTCAGTTTTTGCATACTAGTGGGCATTGAGAAGTGTAGTATACAGTAAATCATATATTTATGAACAACCTGTGTGTTAATTCCACTTTCTTGATTAACTTCCTTGCTGTTTGTTAAATGATATAGGTAGAAAAATATGTACATATAGCTTAAAATTTTATCAGATGTTGAATACTGGGTTTTGAGGGTTCGTAAGTTGAATAACTGACGTAATATCTTTCAAACAGTTGAAAATCTCAAACTATTTCGTATGCTGCAAACAATCATTTGAAAATCTGTTTATGTTAGGCATTTTTCACTCTGAATTTGCTAAAGTGATTTGAAACATTTCAGCTTATATTTCCATGAACTAAGAAATAGTCAAAAGGGTTTGTATATCAAATGTTACTGTGTTTTGGTACACAATTGTTATATTCTTAATCATCAGATGTAATAGTGTTTTCATGAGTAACAGTGTCTGTAATTGTGCATGGAATGGAAAACCATATAAGGTGTGTCATTAATGTGAGGGAACTTCATGTATTTTATTAGACAAGGTTATGTAAAAAAAATCAAATTTAGTGTAGAGATAAGGGTAAAACTGAGTTTGTTGCTGTACATTTTTAGACTTTTGTTTGATGAATTATGTGCACCAACTGCTAATTCTTGGGATACTCCTTACCAACGAATAGTGGGATTAACCGTCACATAATAACATTCCTATGACTGAAAGGGTGTTCATGTTCAGTGATGAGATTATAACCCATGACCCATAGGTTGCAAGTCAAGTGTTCTAACCACAAGGCCATGCCAGACCTGTAGACTTTAAAATACATTATTTTTAGACAGAGCTTTTCTAAATGTGTTATTATTGGACAGAGATGAAATCTTTCTTGAGTGCCTTTCCAAAATATATTTTCTTTATTATAAATTCATCCATTTTTCTGTTCTGATATGATGAATGTTTTGTACATAGCATACTCTGGTAAACCATTATTGTTTGGTTCATAAATATAAATGAATCTGTTTCAAGTGGCTTTTAACTATATGCTGGATATATGTGAACCACTTTTGGGCTCGCTCTGATGTACACTACTCAAAAACAATTAAATGGTCATTGGAACTAATAACATTGTAGATATGAAGCAACATTACTATTGTGTAATAATGTCAGTGATCACCCTCAGTTCATTGTTATGAAAATCAGACATCTGATATTTAGTCACATAATCTACAATGTAGATGTTTGGTTATTCAGTTTACACCATATAGTGGTCTCATAGAATCTTGCCTCTTTCTGAATCACAGAGTTCAAAGCACTTCAAATTGTTCATGAATCATGGCTAGACCTCTGAGGAAACATTCACATGTTTCATTCATGCAAAGAACCACCAGACTAATGGAAGCTTGCCAAGTACAGCAGGTTCTAGGGAATTAGTTTCAAATGTGTTAGTGTTGTTAGCAGAATGTGGAATGGCTTCCAAATTAATGTTAAGGCTGTTTGGACACTTGGACAAGGTAATCAATGACACAAGCAAGCCACCACTGAATAAAAAAAGGCACCTGTATGATTCAAGTAGCCGTTAGTGTTGTATTCCGG